GGAGACAGAATCTCACTATAGAGGTCAGGTTGGCCTTGGACTCACGGTTTGGCCCACACTGGCCTCAGTGACCTACTACTTCAACATCCTGAGTGTTGGGATTACAGGCACCCCAGCTTTTGCATTCAGATTGAGTAAATTGTTTGGAAGACAGTTAAGTTCAGAGTAGAGAAAACTGTCAGGAGAATCTGTCTTTGGCAGTTCATTGTCTTCTTATACATTTTACTGTTCTCTATAGCATTCTTAAGAGGTGATTACGTGTTAGCTGGCTAAGAAGTTACTTAGAGATTGGGTGGATGGATTGTTTCTCTAGTTTAATAAACTGCTTGTTAACATTTCTTCCTCCTGATACTGAGTGGAGATGCAGGGCCTGGCTTGACAGGTCCTTCTCTCTCCTTACATCTGTGCTGAACTCTGCAAGGCCACAACCAGCTTTGGTAACTTATCAGCAGAGAATTGTGCTCATGGCTATGATTTATTGCAGTGGGAGGTCATAGAGCGAAACTGCTAAGGGCAAAGACACATGGATCCAGGGGATATGTGTGGCAATATTTTAGGGTCTTAAATCCCCCAGTAGTAAATGTGACTCAGGCATAAAATGCTATTTGGGATGCTTTAGACACTCTTTGTGCACGGGGTGGGGCTTTTTACTGCAGGCTGGTCACATATGCACCCTCTCCTACCTGCATACCACAGTTCTAGAACCCAGAGAAGATCAGCTGTTTAGCATAACCATATTGTGTGTATCAGCAATAGGTACAGGCATCTGTCCTCTTGTTGCTTAGGTGGGTGCCTTCTAAAATGTCACGTTTAGGTACTATCTCAGTTGCTTTCTTGTTTGCTGGGCCAAAATATCCAACACTTTAGAGGAGCAAAGGTTTATTTCGGCTCACAGTCTAGAGGTTTCAGGCATAGTCAGCTAGTTCCAAGGCAGGTGGCCCAGCACAGGGAGAGGGCAGAGGGGAAACAGTCCAAAGCAAGGCAGGCAGCAAGCTGCAGCAGCAAGCCCTCATTCTTTCTGTCCCCTTGTATTCCATCCAGCTTAAGCCTACTGGTTGGTGCCACTCATAGCCAGGGTGGGCTTCTCACTACCTACATTCATAGCATCACTAAGCCAATCAGTGGGCTAATCCAGTTATCACAACCTTAATTCACATTCATGTACCCTAGATCCAGCCACTTCTGAGAAAGCCCCACCTGTGAGCATTTGAGGCTTTGGGGGGACATCCAGATATAAGCCATAACAGGCACCATTTAGGGACCAGGCTTGTCAGGAGGTCTTATCTTTTCTTTTTCTTTTTATGTATTTGGTACAGGGTATACAAGGTACAGGGTCTACAGGGTTTCACTACACAGATCAGACTCAGAGTGATTCATAAGGAGGCCTTTGAAAGGAAGCAATCAAGTCCTTCATGGTAACTGCTTTATGGACACCTCCTAATGTTAGAAACTCAAGGAGACCCTGCCTTCTGGCTCTCGTCTCTCAGCTCTTTCCTTCCTTCCTTGCTAATGGGAACTGAACCCAGGACCCTTGCACTGAGCTACATCCTCAGCGCTATTTTTTAATTTTTTTTTTAAGGAAGGAAAGGTTTATTTCGCTCACAGTTACTGGAGGTTTCAGTCCATGCTCATCTGGGTCCAAGGCAGAGCAGCACATAGCAGAAAGCAACCTTTCATGGTGGTGGCAAAGAGCAAGAGCCCCTATTTTTAAATTTTTTATCCAGCCTGGTTTCAAACTCCACATCTTCTTCCTTCAGCCCCCCAGAGTGCTGGGATTACAAGCATGTACCACCACGACCAGCTTCTGAGTTTATGTACTTTGATATCTGTACAAATCATTTCTTCTCAGCCTTGTGAATATGAGTTCTGAGCGTCCACCCACCTTGTAGTCCTGCGTCTCTAATTCCTTTCAGTGGACTTTTCTTAAAATGTCCTATGAAACCTTCTTATTAAAAGAGATTAAAACTCAAGTCATCACCTTTTTTCTGAACTCTTTTCTTCCCATCTTTATCACCTTTGTGGATCTTGGAGGCTTTGAAATAACTCTTGTATCTATCTCTTTGCCAGCAACCTGTTTTGTGTCGTTAGTGCCTCCCACCAGATTCACTGGAACAGACTCTCAGGCTCCCTACAGTGGTGTCTTGAACTCCAGTGTGGTCATTTCTCATTCTAGAATCAGATGCTGGCCCTGCCCTTCTTCAGTGCTGCAGGCTATCTCCTCTCTACCTAGAAAGTCTTGTTTTCAGCCTCTCTGCCTTTGTAGATTGCCACCAATGCCCTCCTTTTCAATGTACCCAAGGCATGCCATACCTGCTTCTTCTGCCATCTTTGGCTACTCAGTTGAGATTCTGTATCACATTTTCCAGAAGCATTTATTTGACTCTTACTTAGTGCCCCATTTTTTTTTTTTTTTTTTTTTTTTTTTTTTTTTTTTTTTTTTTTTTGGTGGAACGAGGGATTGAACTCAGGCCCTTGCACTTGCCAGGCAAGCGCTTTTTCTACTGAGCCATCTCCCCAGCCCCATTGCCCCATTTTTTACAAGTTGAATTGGTAAGGATTAGTAGTTGCAAGAAAGAGAAGCCAACTCTTAAGCAGAAAGGGAATTTGTTAATGAAACTGAGTAGTTCTTAGACTATAGAGGACTGAAGAGCCATGCTTGGGAACTACATAGCTACCCTACCCCTGCCCCCATCATACCAAAAACTGCTCCCATGAAGAGAGCTGTTGTCACCACTAGGTAGATGTGGATGGCTGTTTGGTACTGATAATACCACCAGTGCCACTACTGCTTCTGGACCTGGTGCAGCGATTGCCCTTTCACTAGAGTGAATTCTGCATCCCTGCGGCTGCTTACTAACACTAGTTCAACTTAAAGTCCGAGCTTCAAGTTCTGATGGGCAGTACTGTCACCAACTTTGCTTTACATATGAGGCATTTTCCAGAAATGGGAAGAGAGTCTGATTTTTGACAACCAATCAGAATATCATATTTCTATCCCTTTTCCCACACTAATTGTGGGTAGAGGCTTGATACTCCAACAAGTCTCCCCCCCACACTATTGGATTATAGTAAGTCCTTGACGTACAGACATTTGGGTCTTAAACTTGTGCAGAATGAGCAGACCTCGAATTATGAACATTTGTAGATGCAAACAAATCATAGAAGTAGTTCATGTATCTGGTTGCTGCTGTGGTGTGCTTACTTCACAGTGGTTGTCTACAGTAGTACAGTGCTCAGGCAGAGCTAAGAATGTCCAGAAGCAAGAGGAGAAGCATGGTGATCTGGAGGGGATGTTCGGAAACGCAAAGCAATATACATTGTATATTTGTGTCAAAGGTGTGCAGGACTCAATTTGTTGTACTTGCAAATGAATCTAACTTAGGAACATTCTCCTGGAATAGAACTTGTTCGTAAGTCGGGGACTTACTGTATTAAATGTCTTAATACACAAAGCCTATAGCCAAATAAAAACTACTGTTAATCTTGCATCTTTTCCCAAAGAACTCAGCAGTTTGAAGATGTTATAGTTCCTTAGGCCTGTTGTTCCTTATTGCAGTTTGAAAGTAAAGATGCCTTGGAAAATTCTAGAATCTGAGCAGTTTATGTGTAGCTTTTTAAAATGTAGTCTTTCTTAATTGCTTGGTGAGTAATTTTGTTTATATAAATGTACGCTTGTTATTAACATTTTTTCCTTTAGAGAATCCCCTATGTTGGCACCATTTCTGAGCAGTTGGAGCCTGGATCCTTGATTGTCATCCGTGGCCATGTTCCTAGTGATGCTGAGAGGTAAAATCACTGTGTTGGATGAAAGAAAACAAATGAACTGTGATTGTAGCATAATAATGCAAGTAATGGGGCTGGGGAGATGGCTCAGTGGAATAAGCGCTTCCCTGGCAAGCTCAAGGGCCTGAGTTCAATTCCCAATTCCACGGGGGCGAAAAAAAAAAAAAAGGAAAGAAAGAAAGCAATGTGAGACTGTTTTGATATTCTGAGTCCTGATTTATCAACAGCCGTCACCAAGGTGCTGTGAAAGTGAGAATAAGTGACTGAGATTATTGGGGTTTTCTATGTCATTGTGAAAGTCTGATTTCAGTGTTAAAGAATGAACTATGAGGAAGGCAGCCTCAGAGTCTAATACTGTAGCATCTCTTTAGACTTTTGCCGGTTGGCTTTCTTCTTGTTCAGTGTCAGTTGAGACTGGGTCCAGCTCTTGTGTAGCTGACACCCAGGTATCTATGGGCTAACTAAGGTGTGGGAATGTCTCAAGGAATTCAGTTTTTGTGGTCAACTCTGTCTGGTCCCTAGAGAAGCTGGCTGCTGGTTCCTGGCTCTCATGTCCCTCTCCCTGCAGGAGGCCTTTCTTCAGGCCTTAGCAGCTAGAACTCCAGCCACCATCCATGTTTTGAGTAGCTGGGAAGTGTTTGTGGCCATGGGGTGGAGCTGCTTGGATACAGGGCAAATGCTTGCCCCTGAAGCACTTCACTTCTATTTTGGCTAAGCTGGGACCACACCGACAGGCTTGGCTTCCAGAGGGTGGAGAGAGGGAGATTTTTTGTTCTGGACCTGTGTGGACCCAGTTTAGATTCAGGGGCTCTGTTATGAGGAAAAAAGAAAGATGAGCCCAGTAGCTGTTTAGGCCATGCAGAAGTGACAAGTTGTTTGTCCCTTAGCTGAAGGCTGGTTCTGGCTGGGCTTTTTCTCCACTTGCCTTCTGGGGCATACATGATCCTGGCTCTGTCCCCTACAGATTCCAGGTGGACCTGCAGTGCGGCAGTAGCTTGAAGCCCCGGGCCGATGTGGCCTTTCACTTCAACCCCCGCTTCAAACGGGGCAACTGCATTGTCTGCAACACTCTGACAAATGAAAGGTGGGGATGGGAAGAGATCACCTATGACATGCCCTTCCAAAAAGAAAAATCTTTTGAAATCGTGATCATGGCGCTGAAGGACAAATTCCAGGTGCGTTGTGGAAAAGAACAGAGTCTCATTAGGGGTTGGTGCGCAGGAGGCTCTTCCCATGCTGAGTGTACCCCCAGTACTTACATCTGAGACATGGCCCTACTGTCATCTTCCTCTAAAAGACCAGGTAGAACCTCAGTGTGAGCCAGGCACTGCTGCCCTCTTTCCTATTGTAGCCCTAGTGTAACCACATCTTCGGATTGTATTTTCCCTGTATGGCCAAGTTCTTAAGTCACCCTGAATCATATTGTTATGGGAGAGACTTATAACCAGCACCACTGCCCATTGTGTGGGGCACCCTGGGGGATTAGAAGGGGGAACCCAGCATGTAGACAAGAAGAGTTGTGAGATCAGGTCTTGCCAAAGGATAGTTCCGTAGGATCCAGACGGCATCCAGTAAGTGCTGTTCCATACTTCATCCCTGTGTGTAAGGTGGAAGTTAGACCTATAGTCTTCTATGCTTGCTGGCCCTCAAGTTCTCAGTTTCCTAGACTCTAGCTTCCTCAACCCCAGTGAAGACTATCACATATGGTGCAGATCCTCTGTTCTTTGGCCTTACCTTCTTTGCCCTTCCAGCCTGGTATTTGTGTCACTCTTTTTCACAGTTGTCCCTCTCCTATTATGTTTGCTCTGTCATGTGCCTGCCCCCACCTGGTTAAGCTCCCTGAGGTAGAGACTGTCCTGGGTGCTGCTTGTGTTTCCTGTGCATGCCCAAACATGGTCTCTGGCATTTGGAGGGAGAAGGAGCAGGAGTGGCTTCTGACTCACGGAAGGTGCTTTTATTGTCTCCACACAGCTGTAGCCTATTGAGGTTGAGATCATCCTTTATATACAGACAGGAAACCCAAAGCTTGGATCGGGGATATTAGAATGTGGGCCTCAAGGACAGTGTAGTGGGACCAGGTAGGCAGATCTTGCCTGGTTTCTTAGGCTTCCAGGCCCCTATCAGAGGTTCCAGGGGCCTCTGAGCCTGCACACATGTGCATGCTTATACTCCTAAATATATCTATGGAGATAGATCCAGGTCAACAGTTTAATCAGACCCTGATCAGGAACCCCAAAGTGCAGGAGCCCTGCTAGGATAGTGGCTGCTTTCAGCCAGTTGGGTCAGTTTCACATGGATTCTTGTCGGGGTGGTACAGAATTAAAGCCAAAGAAATACTTAATTTTGGATATATTCATCTGTTAACAGTATTTTGGGGGCCTTGTCTTGTGTCTCTCCAGGTGGCAGTGAATGGAAAGCATACTCTCCTGTACGCCCACAGGATTAAGCTAGAGAAAATAGACACGCTGGGCATTTATGACCATGTGAATGTTCACTCAGTTGGCTTCAGATTCAGCTCGGTGAGTGCTCTTCTGGTGAGTGCTCTTCTGCACAAACCTCAGGGTCTTTTTTGACTTACACTGTCTGATGGAATGTCAGAAGACTTCTTTAGTTAACATGTTCTATTGAGCTAAAAGTAGCATAACTATCAGCTTCATTTGAATACTAATTTCTTGGAAGTGATGCTCTCCCCCCTTATTGTTAGGGCTTTCCTGTCTGTGACTGGCTGGGCCAGGTGCATTCACTTGACAGGAGCGTGCAGTGGAGTAGTTCTGTATGAAGGTTTCCCCGAAGTGGGTGGTCTGATCAGAGTATTTGCATTTTCCGTCGTTCTGTTGGCTGTGCCTCACTTGCCCCCAGAAGGTGAATACCACTTGCACACTCAGCAACTGCAGCCATCTGCTCACCCTGCTCCCTATGCTTGGCAGTTTGAAGGAGGGCCTGTGCGTTTTTTGGATATTTGAGCAAATTTTCACATTTAATGTCCTTTTTGTTTTTGACACTTTAAACAGGTTTTCTTTAGAAAACAATGACCTGATATTAATCATTATTATCTTTTCTCCAGGATTTACAAAATACTCAAGCATCTACTCTAGGACTAACAAATATGAATAGAGAAAATGTAAGCATTAAATCCTTTAATAAACCTCTGATTTAAAATAGCCTTTTTAGTTGCCATTAGATGAGAGGAAGATTGGATTTTTAAAAATTATATTTTCACATGAGGCCAAGAGGCCAGCAGTCACAAGAGGCCAAGGTCCAGGTGTTCAGTGGACCCCTGAAATTCATGGGGGTTACATTCTCAGAGGCAGGCACACACTTCTTACGGTCCCGGGTGCTCTGTTATCACTGATGTTGCCCTTGCCAGTTTATATGACTATCAGTGAGCATTCTCATGTACAAAGCATTCCTCACTTCATTAACTGTAGAATGTTGTAGCATAAGGCGTTGGTAAATACTGCACCTCACTGTACATGAGCTTGCATAAATATCTGCATCTTTGCTGCTGTTAGTGGACAAAGTGAGGGCTATGTAATCTTAGCAAGCATATGGGGAAGCTGGGAAGAATAAAATGTGTTTGAAGTTTATGTGCAGTCCTAGGAAAAATGGTTGTTGGAGGGTGAAGGATAAAGAACTCATGAATGGGACTGCTGGATTCTTTCCAGCCCATGGAGCCCTCTATGGCTGTACAGCACCATCAGGGAGCAGCACTTGTCTTGTGTGTCACACGCGGGGCCTGGCCAGGCTCAGCTCAGTTCAGTGGACCCCTGAAATTCATGGGGGTTACATTCCTAGAGTACCTGCAAATTGAAAATCCATGAATTTCAGATATGGCCAGAAAAATGACCATTTTCATAGTATAAACCCTAAGTATGCTGTCTTATGCAATTATATAATTTATTAAAATACTGTATAAATAAAGCCTTAGGAGGTGCAGGACATTTTGGCAGCATCTTAGGGATATTTGGGCTTTTAAGAATAAAACTGAGAAGTTTTACCTCCTGTTTAACCTCCTGTTACCACGCAGGAATGCTGGTGCATCTACCAGAGATGTGCTACAGGGCAGCAGCCAATCGGCAGCAAGAGAACTGAATAATGCTCTGGGACGTGCTACTTGCAGACCTCCCACCAAAAAAGAATTGTAGAGATCTGTGAGGTTTCTACTAAGTTGCAGGAGTTTCCACAAACAATCATTAGCTAGGTTCTAACTGAAAATTGTGAATGACTGAGGCTGCAAACTCTGAACCTCAACTAAACAGGGGACATGATGTAACCGACTAGTTCAGATCATCATGTTATAGAATGTGAACCCTGTGGATGCGTGGTGCTGGCTAGAAAACCAGGCATGGTGGCGCATGCCTGTAATGCCAGCGCTGGGGAAGCTGAGACAGGAGGATCACTAGGAATCTGACCTGCATAATGAGAAGATGTGACCAATAAAAAAAAAAAAGTTAATTAGAATGTGAATCTTTTTTGTAAATGTTTTCAACTTTATTTTTCCTTAGATACAAAAGTCTGGAATTTCACAGTTTGTAAGTATTTTTGTCTGATTATTCCATCTAGAGCATTTTCTAAAACTGCCTAGAAAATGAAGTTTAACCTTGGAAGGCAGCTTTATGTTTTCCATGCCTTATTGTAGAACTGTTTCCCTGCAGCCTAGTAATAGAGGAGACATTTTTAAAATCATACCACAATCTGCGTACACCAAGAGCAGAGATTCGACTGTCAATCACAGTGTGACTTGCACCAAAATACTACCCATCAACTGTTTGTCAAAGGTTTGAAGAGCCCAACTCTATAAAAATTATTAGAATTGGCTGTTATGTTACATGTAACTCGCTCTCCCAGTAGAAGCCCAAAGTAGCCACTCATTTGTGTGCTGTCACGGGACAGGTAATAGGAAAACCCAGCTCATAGTTCTGAGCCACAAGGCGAGCATTTCCTCATCACCAGCAGCCCCTTCAGGCAGGACACAGAACACTGCCTCTGACCCCAAACATTGGCAGCTTTACCACAGTGTCACCCAAACAGATGGCCTCAGGTCCCACTCCATGTCTACTGTCACAGAGTACATGACATGAGCCTGGTGCAGCGCTGCTGCCGAGCTCCAGCTGGGACCAGGGCAGATCTAGTCTGTCCCCCTGGGTTCGCATGTTCTCAGCCAACTCTATTCTTTGGATAGTTTTTCCATGAGGTCCCTTCCTCCAGTTCCCTGGTTTTGATGGTAGCTTCTTTTCAGACCCTGCCCTTCGAAGCAAGGTTAAATTCCCCCATGGGGCCTGGACGGACTGTTGTCATTAAAGGAGAAGTGAATATGAAGGCCAAAAGGTGAGTGGTGCTACGCTCTGCCTGTTACTACCTTGTACCCATGATGGCTTTAGGGGATGTGAGGAGGGTCATGGCCCTGTGCCAGGTATAAAGTGTTAAATGACAAGAGAACAAGGCATCCCTGGCTCCCACACACAGTGTCACTTGGCTTACTAACACTAAGCCTTCAGTTTCTCCCAATCAGCTCTCAGCCTCAATACTGTTTTTTAAAATTTCATTTTGCAAGTAACATATCAGTGGAATGTAAATTGAAAATCTCACCTTCCTTTGCATCCCATGTCCCTGTGCACACGCTTCATGTTGTAATTACAGTTTAAGCCTCATTGTTAGAATTGTAGAATTTGCCACGATTATCTTCAGTTTGATTAATTGGGTTCCATTTTTCCCCCTCTTTCAAAAGCTTTAATATTGATCTAATAGCAGGAAAATCAAAGGATATTGCTCTACACTTGAACCCACGCCTGAATATTAAAGCATTTGTAAGAAATTCTTTTCTTAATGATGCCTGGGGAGAAGAAGAGAGAAATATTACCTTCTTCCCATTCAGTCCTGGAATGTACTTCGAGGTAAGATTTTATTTTTCAAAAATGAAACAGGGTTTCACTGAGTAAGTTGCCCAGGCTCAATTCATACTTGTGATCCCCTTGCTTCAGCCTCCTCGCATGCTGAGGTTGCAGACGGGCTCCCTTCCCAGAAAATTCATGTTTTTACCAGCTGCTCTGAACATCAGGTGCTTGCAAGGGTTTCCTGTTCTGTTCCCTCCTAGACTGGGGCCTTTGATGTCCTGTGCCTTCTCCCTGTTTCCATCTGAAGCAGTGTTTACCTGATTTTTTGCTGTTTCCCACTTGGTTGCAGTTGGTTTGTTTCTGCATGTGCCAATAACTGTCTAGGGATGCCATTGACTTTTCCCCTGCACTGTCTGAAACTAATGTGGTTTTCCTTCTAAGCTATGTAACATGAGATTGTTTTCTTAAGATTTTATTGAATGTCCATCACCTGAGAGCCCTTCCATCTAGTAGAAAAGGGGATTTCCATCCACTACTCCTGGGAGCTATTATCCTATTTCTCTGTGTAGCCTCAGAGCATTCACTGTGGTCAGCTGTTACCTCCACTGTTTCCCCTGGTGGCCATTTCCATGACTACTGTCAGGAGGGGGTTAGCTGCTTTGCATACAGTTTACTCCCCAGTCTGTCATCTGCTCTCTGCTAGCTGCTGAAGCCTTCTGGGGACCAAGGAGCACTGGGCAGAATCAGTGGCCAGGCTGGCACTGAGAGTGTGGTGTTGGGATCACAGGGTTACAGTAAGGCAGTGTAACCCTGAATGAAAGGATATACAGTATACCCCCAGGTTCAGAGTTCACGGCATCATTTGTGGATTTTTTTTCTTAGAACTTAACAATTGTTCACAGAAACCCCTATTTCATGGAAACCACAGATGTCCTCCACAATTGTTTTTTTGGTAGGAGGGTAACAAACAGCCAATCCAAGAGCGTTGTCTCTCCTTGCTGCCAAATGGCTGCTGCCCATAACCCACCTCAGCTATACAGCATGTAGCTATCTTTTTTTTTTTCTTGTGATTAAAAAAAAAAAAAAATTTCCCATAGTTTTATTGATAAACAAATAGCAATGAGACAGTTTCAAATCAAATTGGTAGGACAGTTTCAATAATTAACACATTGCATACATTCTTC